TACTTAATTTTTTCTTTATTTTTCAATATCACTAAGCTTTGCAGTTCATCTAAGAGTTTTTTCAAATTGACACAAATCTCTAAAACATTTTCCAATATATTTATTGAAAAAAAACCTGCTTATAAGTGGCCCATACAGTTCAAACTACAGTTTATTAAAAGGGTAACTATACAGTATTTACAAACACAGGCAGCAGGTCAGATTTGGCCCATGGGCCATAGGCTGACTTCTGATCTAGACCAATATCCCCTCCTAGTGTCTTCTATTTGACTCCCTCTCCCAAAACAGGTTTGCACTGTGGGTAACAAATACTGCTCACACTTGTGAAGCTACTTTGAAACATATTAAAATATTGACATATAATACTGTCAAGTCAATCTTTCTTCTCAGGCATAATCACCAATGTCACAGGAAAGCACTGCCTACATGCCACATTACATAAATCTTTTAATTGAAATGTTTTGAACTATTAGCAAAATTTTGACTGTACAAAAGGCTAAAAAAAAGTGCCTTAATTTAAAATGTATTATTCTTAAAAAAAATATCATACTGTGAGACTCCTCTGCTTAAAAACCTCATTAACTTCCCATTTCCCTAGAACAAACTCTTCTGTATAGCATACAAGGTCATTCATAAGTTGGCCCCAACCAGCTCTCCAATTTTATTTCCTACTACTTTCTGTTCACTCTCTATATAGAAGAATAAAAACGTAGCAAATAATACTATATAATAACTTTCAGGAGGAGATAAACACCAACTTCAGGGCAGTGGTAGTTCTGAAACGGGAAAAAGATACTAGGAAGAAGAGCCCTAGGGACTTCAACTATATCTGACATAAATTTTTCAAATTATGATAATGAAAATATTAAATAAAGCAAAGACCTGAAGCAAATATGGCAAAATCAAGATCTGACCAAGCTAAGTGATGGGTAATAAGAATGCTCTATCATTCACCATACTTTTTCTATTTGCTTAAACCAGGGATTGACAAACTACAGTTCATGAGCCAAATCTGTCCCAATGCTTGTTTTTGTCAGGCTTGGAGCTAAGAATGGTTTTATTATACTCAAGGATTGTATTTTTATAAAAAGAAGACGACGACTATGTGACAGATTTTGTGACCCGCAAAACCTGAAATATCTACTATCAGGCCCTTTATAGGAAACGTTTGCCAACTCTTGGTTTAAAATATTTTATAAGAAAAGAAAAGAAAGATTTTTTTTAAAGTAGGGAGGCAACTGAGTCAAGAAAGAATGGCTTTGTTTTCTTACATTAAATATTTTCCTAATTTTTATGTTATTTGTCTCTTTTATATATTTTTAAATGTTTCTATTGGTTTTTTAGAGGGAGAGGAAGGGAGAGCTGGAAACATCGATGTGAGAGAGAAACATCAATCAGTTGCCTCCTGCACACTTCCTACTGGGGATGGAGCCCACAACTTGAGCATGTGCCCTGACAGGGAATCGAATGAGGACCTCTCAGTCCATGGGATGACGCTCAATCCACTGAGCCACACCAGCCAGGCTTATTTGTCTCTTTAAATGAGCTTTTCATGAATTACTTTTTCCACTTTAATCAAGAAGAAATCTCATAAAATTTAATACTATTCTCTGATTGGGAACTTATTTAAAAGATGGATGGGAGAGTCTTTTTTTTTTTTTTTTGGTACGTGCCCCTAGAGGGAACCAAACCCAGAAGCAGGCCGACGCTCCAACAGCTGAGCCAAACTGGCCAGAGTGGGAGAGTCTTTTAATAAGATTTTGATTTCAGTCCATACTTGTTAAAAAACTGGGAAGCTAATTTAGAGCCCACTGTGACATTTTTAGGTAGCTGTATATTATTTTATTTATTTGTTAATCCTCATCCGAGGATATCCTTGGACTGATTCTTAGATCGAGTGGAAGGGAGGGAATAGTTGGGGGAGAGGGAGGGAGAGAGAGAAACATCGCTGTGAGACTAGCAATAGTCACCCCCTACAAGACCCCAAATAGGATCGAACCTGCAACTCAGGTATGTGCCCTTGACTGAGAACTGAACCCACAATCTTTTGGGGTCCATGGGCCAATGCTCTAACTGCTGAGCCAAACCGGCCATGGGTAGGCAGCTATATTTAGATTGAAAGTGTCACAGGGGACCTGCTCACGAGCTATCAGCCAGGGACACTGGAAAGGTGCTATACAAGACTTTTTCCCTGCTTCATGTTCACATTTTTTACTTTCTACAACCCATCTCTCTTAGAAAAATTTTTTGTCTTTTTTCACAAAAGATAAGGAAGGAAAAGGGTTAAATAAAATTCAAAACACTGTATTACAGTAAGAGTTTCTGGTTAAAATGGTTGTTAAGACATTGAAATAAGTCATCAGAGAAGGTAGACATTTTTAAAAAATGAGCAGACAGGATACTGTGGGGTAAAATAGTGAGATAATACATCTAAATGTATCAACATGCTTAGTTCACAAGGACTGTTAGCTCTTACTATGTTATGATTATTTTGAGGTTACTATGTAGGCATTTTCTTTCTGGTCAATTTTTTTTTTTATCTTCACCGGAGGACATTTTTACATTTATCTTCAGATAGAGTGGGAGGGAGAGAGAGAGAAACATGGATGTGAGAGAGACACATAGACTGGTTGCCACCCACATGACCCCCAATTGGGGCCGGGGACAAACGGCAACCGAGGTATGTGCCTTTAGCGGGAACCGAACCCAGGTCTCTCTGGTTCGTGGGCCGACACTCTAACCGCTGAGCCAAACTGGCCAGGGCTGTAGGCATTTCTTTTCTTTATAAAATATTAAGCATATCAGTAATGTCTGTGTACATGATAATATTTTTTCTTATTTTTGTAATTCATTTCCACAGGTTTCTCCCCTCCGCACTGACCTAGGTTTACTAAAGACATTACCATTTGTGAATCAACAATTGAGACTTACACAGAGATTTCACAGAAATACTCAGTGGATGTTTGAGGATATTTAGACCCAAATCATCATCTAATAACCTTAAGTATGTGCTGTTTTAAACTTTAGTGTCCTGGAAATTTAAAATGTGCATGGGCCCAGCCGGTGTGGCTCAGTGGATTGAGCATCGTCCCATGGACTGAGACGTGCTGGTTAGATTCCGGGTCAGGGCACATACCTGGGTTGTGGGCTCAATCCCCAGTAGGGGATGTGTGCTGCAGAAAGCCAATTGATGTTTGTCTTTCACATCGATGTTTCTCTCTGTCTCGCAAAAAAAAAAAATCAATAAAAAAATATAAAAAATAACGTGCCTGGAACAACAGCTACCAAACAAATATGAAATAAAAATTATTTACCTGGTCACAATATATATTTTTTCCTGCTCTAATAAAAATTGTAATGAGAATGCTAAAATATGTAATTGTTTTTAAACGTGACCCCATATATGCCAGGTCTAATATCTAAAAAATATCAACTATTTTTTAATGTACTATATTATATATAAGATATACAAAAAAGCATAAGAAATAGGACAAAATACTTATAATCTACCCAATTATGAAACAGAACATTACTACTACTGATGCCCCCTGTGTACCCTCAGTTCCAACTCTCTTCCTTCCCCCAGGGAATCACTGCTTTGAACACTGGTATTTGGTATATCCATGTATTTCTTCATACTTTTCGTACAAAGGTACATATCACTGCATAACCCATATCACTATTTTACAACTTGCTTTGTTGATATGGCTTTATGTCTGAATTCACACATGTTGACATGTATAGTTTATTCATGTGGTAAAGATACTGCTCACCAAATATTCTATTTGCTTCCCTGTGTCTCTTAGTCTTTAGATTGAAATCACTGGAATGTGAACGGAAGGGAAGTCTCTCCTGTGTGGAACAAGGTGGCTTACACTATCTCTTTCTTCCCCTTCCTCAGTGAACTCATAAGCCACATATTCCAGATGGGGCCATAAGATAGCTGAAGGAACATGGAGCATCCATCAGCCTTGGGTTTCTGAGTAAGGGGAAACAGTTTCTAGTTAACCCATGTTGGACATACAAAGTGAGTAAGAAAGAATCCTGTTACACTAAAACAAACAAAAATGGGATTTTCCTGGAATTATTCAAAAGCAATGCTGTTAGTAGCAAGGTAGATTCAAAGCCTTTTAAAAATACTTCCATTTTATGACTATAGGTTGATATTTATTCGCACTTGTATAAAGAAGCAAATCTTTACCTTATTTGAAGACCTACTGCACTAACAATACTTTCAGAGAAGTGTCCTACATGTTCATGTACTGTTTCCATATGTTAGTTTTATTTCCCTAATTAGATTTTTTTAAATCCTCACCAATGGATATGTTCACTGGTTTTAGGAAGAGGGGAAGAGAACAAGAGAGAGACATCAATGTGAGAGAGGAACATCAATCAACTGGTTGCCTCCCTTACGTGCCCATTGGGGATCAAACGCTCAACCTAGGTGTATGTCCTGACCGGGATCAAACCCGCAACCTTTTGGTGCATGGGAAGATGCTCCAACCAACTGAGCCACACCAGCTAGGGCTCCCCAATTAGATTTAAGCTCTTCAAGAATCATGTCTTCTTTTGTACTCCACACTGTACCTTCCAGTCTACATAGGCATGTAGTAATGACTGGTCTTCTGTTTGACTAGGGAGGAGGAGGACTAATATTAAATGCCCACTTTGTGTAAGGCACCTTGGTTGTGCTTCACATGTTATCTTGATCCTTATTATTTTCATTATGTAAATAAGAATATTAAGGCTACGTAACTTTCCTTTGGCCACAGAGCTAGGAAGATGAAGGGTGTGGGGAGGGCAGTTGAAACCGGTCTGCTTGATTCTAAAGCCTTTGCTTTTTAGTTTTTTTCACTGAAGTGAGTGAGACCAGCCTAGTGTAGGGCAGGAAATTTAGTAGAACATAGAATAGATAACAAAAATAATTTCTGTTTATAAATTTTACAAACATTAAAACATTTCTTTGGAGACTTTCAGAACTCAAGATTGATGGGTCTTACCTTGATCACCTCTGGAGTCTGCTGAATCAAAACCACTGAAGTAGTATCTTTCACTTTATCACCAACAGGACTTCTACAAACTGATAAATTGGCCTGGGAAGAAGTTGTCAAGGTTTCCTGTAGAATTTGCATCATTTCCTTTTCTTGTGATAAGCTCCCTCTGCCTGATTTGCATTCAACTAGCTCCTGAGCAAAGTCTTCAATGCTTTCTAGAATTCGTAGTAAGAGGGCTCGATCCTCTTCCTCTATTTTGTGTCCATTGGTTTCAATGATCCTTGTTAGACAGGAAGGTGAGACTTTTTCCATGGGTGAAGAGACTTTGGAGTTAGGCTCAAGATCTCCGGGGAGCTGATCAGTCAACTGACTATGATTATTTAGAGAGTTAGAGTTTTTACCTTTGGCAAGTGGCTCTCTTAGTGAGGTCTCCATTTTCTGTGAAAAAGATTCTAAATCCATTAACAATTTATCTATTTCTTCCTTACTGTTAGAATTCATAAAATCTCTGTGGTCTTCCTCTTCAATTTTAGGAACCTTTGACTTAAGATCTTCCTTAGGTATATTAACAACTGGTTTCTCAAATATCTTACCAATTTCATTTTGTATTGAGGCAGGACATTGTTTAAGATGACTACCATGGTCTGAAAATTCTGCTCTATCTTCATTTAGCTTTAACAACTCCTGACTGAGTCCATTCTCTGTCCTTTGTCCTTTACCTACTGCTTTCTTTCCATCTGACTCTTCTTCAATATAAAGGGTTTCCATTAGGTCACCAGAAGAAACATTTCCTAAAGCATTCATGGTTAATGACTGTGATTGAAGCTGGACATCTTTGAGAGTTCTGGGATCATTCATCTCTAAGTTATATAAGGAATTTGTAGAGTTGTTTTGGATGGATTTTACAGTATCTGTTTTCCTAGAACTATGCTTGTCATTCTGTAATTCTATAGTTTGAAACTGTCCAGGGTCAGGGGCTGAGAGCTGAACAACATCTTCATATTTAGGGGGCTGCTCAGTGCCAAATACTGGGGAGAAGGGAGTCAGTTGTAAACTAGGCATATTACTGATCAGTTCTGTTAAATCTATAGCCTCATTATTTCCAGACTGCATGAATTCAAATGGTAGCTTTTTCAGATAGGATGCTAACCTGGTCATTACATTCACATAGACAGTTTCAGAGCTAGAAACTGCATCATTATCATTTCCTTCATTGATGCCACTCCCTGACTTTTTCTTTATGCATTGTTTTATAATGTCTGTGCATTTTTTCAAATCTTCAGAGCATTTCAGCAAGATGTCCAAGCACATCTTTATGTCAGTTCCAGATGAAAAATTATCTATTTTATGTTTTTCCAAAATCTGAGTAACCAGGTCTTCTTCAGAGAAGTTGTGAAGAAACATTGAAGTTAGGTTCATATCGAGTGAGTTTCTATGGGACAAAGATTTTTCCTCAACTGAGGAACTCCGGAGTAAACCAAAGGATGATGAGTTCCCATCATTGTTATAGTGGCCACAGAGCAAGTCAAAATCAACTGATCTCCTATTAAATGAGTCAGACTTAACTTTCCTTCCCTTTTTGTAAGCTGCATGGTTAGAGTTTTTGAGTTTTTCAAGGGAAAATTCTTTTATTTTCCCACTGGCAAAACTGATTGCTTCTCCTGCTATGTCCTTTAAGTTACAGGTATTCTGAAATGTAGAGCCTTTCCTGACCCTAGGTATGCCTGTGAGAACCTGATGGGGATAGTCACTTTCAGCTGAGGAAAACCCATTTTCATGGGATAAAAACATGGAGTCCAGATCCACATCTTTGAACTGAGACACAGGGATGTGTAAGTCTGCACAAACACTACGATGTACCACAATGCAGTCAACTCCATGTGCGAAGGTGTGGCAGGTTCCAGTGCAATAATGTATAGCTTGCTCAAAACGCCGGTCTATCACCACACTGCTGTAGTGGTTCACAGTACTAACCACAAGTCTGTAAGTTGCTGCCATAATATCAAATCCACTTAGTGGTGGGACCTGGAATATTCTAGAACTTGTTTCAAGTAAATTTTCCTAAATGACACTCAGCTGAAAATATATTTGACAATGTTCAGTGGTTTCCTGCAATTATAACAACCTTCCCTACAAAGAGAAACCATCTAAATTTGAGGTTTGGTAACTGTCAGGATACAGTAGCTGTTGCACATCTGTGCTTGTAGTAGCAAGTCTAATAATTTAATAATTGTGCTTTTTAGTTTTATTTAGTAATATCATGATATTATATTTTATAAAAAATATCCTTTTAGTTCTTCAGCAATTCTACAACACAGGAATTTATTGTCATAAATTTACTGTTGTAAATCTTAGTTGGTAGTATAGAAGTACTGTGATAACGGAGTCCTCCAAAGGTTTAAATGATCCATTTTTCTGTGAGAAGAAACCTACAAAGAAAAAAAGAAAATAATTAAAGGGAAATATGATTCCTTAATACTGAGAGAACCTTTTATTTCCTCTTTTTTGGCTTTCCCTATGCAATTAATTACCAAGCCTTATTCTTTCCCATATCACTGACTGCTGATTATTGATTTATGCTTTGTTTCATCAAACCCTACACTCCTTACTATCTAGAGAAGTATCACCTCAGCTCTGCCTTGTTACAACTGCTTCCCAGTTAGTATTTCTTATCTCATCCTCTTTGCCATTTTACATGCAACTAACAAGTACATCTTTCCCAAAGTACTTGTTTGACAATTATTCTCCCATCCTCCTCCTCTCTTTTCTTACTGTCTAAGAAAGAAAGAAAAAAACAACCTTCATTACTGTTCCTGATCCCTGAGTCTCAAACCTTTCCATATGCAGCACTCTCTCTCACCATCAAGTGGATAAATTTACTTAATTATTCTCATACTTTTAAAAAAAAGGCTTCTAAATCATGCTATAATTGCTTTCCAAAAAGGTTCAACCAATGTATTAATCAATAAATACTAAGCACCTTCTATATGCCAGGCACTTGCTAAAAGTTAGGGATAAAGCAGTGAACAAAATAAAGTCCCTGTCCTTACAGGGCTGATAATCTAGTTGGAAAAAGAAAAACAATATGTAAACAAACATATAACTTAGATGGGAATATGTGCTATGGAGAAAAAGGGAGCAGGGGAAAAGGTTTAGAAAGGACTGGAGGATGCTGTGTTATAAAGGGCAGACAGAAAAATCTCACTGACTCATTAACAGAGACCTGAAAGATGAGAGGGAGAAAGATGACGTATTTTGGGTTAAATCATATCAGGAAGATTAACCATAAGTGCAAAGGCTCTGAGGTGGGAGCATACTTGGTTTACTAAATGAATGACAAGGAGGCTAAAGTGGTGGGAGCACAGAAAGCAAGGGGGGAGGGGCAGTGTGGGAGATGAGGTCAGAAAGCAAAGGTGGGAATTTAAATCATGCCGGGTCTGCAGACTACTGTGAAGAATTTGGCTTTACTCTGAGTGAGCTTGGAGACAACTGATGGCTAGTGAGCAGAGGAATGACATGATCAGGCTTATATTTTAAATTGGTAATTTTGGCTATTGTGTTCAGAGGAGACTGGAGAAGAGCAAGATAAGAAGCAGAGAGAAAAGTTAGGGGCTATTACAATAAATTAGGCAAGAAGGTTAGGGGGCTTGGACCAGAAGAGTAACAATGGAGGTGTTTAGATGCTGTATATATTTCAAATGAAGAAGATTAATAACACCAATGCACCATTAATAGCATTAGTGTTTCAACAATAAAGCTTTTACCCATTCAATCATGAGAAACAGAACTTCATTGTTTTCATTTTTATTTCTTCAATCCTAGAAAACTGTTTTGCTTCCTCTCTTCCTTCTTTGGTAAACTGTAATTACTGTTGTCTTATTTAGTTTTATTATCTGGCTTTGTTTCCCATATCTCTAATTATGATTCATTTTTACACTCCAAATATTCTTTCATGGTCTGCCAATGAATTTTTGAATTGTCATGTTTTAAGAAAAATCCTATTGGAATTTGATTACAATAAACATATGAATTATTTTGAAGGAACACTGACATCATTATAATATACAGATTTTCCTCCCACAAAGATAAAAATCTTGATTCCAGCCCAGCTGGTATGGCTCAGTAGATTGAGCATTATCCCATGAATCGAGAGATCCTGGTTTGATTCCCCTTCAGGCCACATGCCTGGGTTGCGGGCTCAATCCCCAGTAGAGGTTGTGTAGGATGCAGCCGATTGGTGTTTGTCTCTCACATCAATGTTTCTCTCTCTCTCTCTAAAAAAATCAATAAAAACATATTTAAAAAATAATCTTAATTCCAATAATATTCCTTTATTTCTCTCTTTATGGTTTTCCGCAGGTAGGTCACCCTCATTCTTCTTGTCCTTCAGTGTCTTAACTTGGTTGCTATGTGAAAAGATCTTTGTTGCTATGTCTCATCCTCCACTTCCTTGATGGCTTACATAAAACTAGATATCATACAGAATGGATGAAGCTGAAACAGAAAGAAGTTCCACAGTAAAGGAAGTGACTAGTAATTTTATTTTTAAATCCTCACCTGAGGATATTTTTCCATTTATTTTCAGACAGAGTGTGGGGGGAGAAACATCAATTGAGAGAGACACATTGATTGGTTGCCTTCCGCACAACCTTGACCAGGGCCAGGGACCAAACCACAACCGAGGTATGTGCCCTTGACTGGAATTGAACCCAAGACTCTTTGGTCTGTGGGCCTATGCTCTAACTGTTGAGCCAAACTGGCCAGGGCAGTGCCCAGTAATTTTTAAGTAAAAATACAAAGAAGCCAAAGAAGAATAGTGTTATGGGACAAAAAACTAGAACATGGCAATGGAAGGAATTACCTTTTCAAAAGATGCACAATCAGAAGACAGGGAAGAAATAGCACCAAACATGAAAAACTATGTATCTTTTCAGAAATCCAAGGACTATATATCCTAATATAGGTTACACATGTGATAGATAATACAGGTTATAAAATTGATCTGGGGCAAAATACCTAAGAGTTGTATGTATTTAATTTATCCAGATACCTATTAAAACACATCAGATAAATTCTTAAATTGGCATAAAACTTTTATTTCTATAAAATTTGATAATTAAAGAGGGGAAGTATTTATCTAGGTTTGAATATAACTAAAACAACTGGTTGACAGAAAATATAAGAAAGTCATCATGTAATATTAGAATTTGAAATAGTCAAGGAAGAAACAACACAGGCCAAAGTCAGACATGTGCTTTTTGACCAGTGTTGCTTAATAAAACTTTTTTGTGTTGCCCTGGCCAGTTTGGTTCAGTGGCTAGAGAGTCGGCCTGAGGTCCAGAAAGACCCGGGTTCGGTTTCCGTTAAGGGCACGTACCTCAGTTGCAGTTTGTCCCCGGCCCTGGTTGGTCGTGCAGGTGGCAGCCACTTGATGTGCCCCTTTCATGTCGATGGTTCTCTCTGTCTCTTCCTCTCTCTCCCTCCCACTCTGTCCGAACAAAAAATGGAAAAATGTCCTCGGGTGAGGATTAAAAAAACCAACAAAACAAAACAAAAAAACTTTTCTGTGTTGATGGAAATACTCTACATCTGTGCTGTCTGATAGGACTGATATGGCTGATTATTAGTCACATGGGACTATTAAGCACTTTAAAAGTGAATAATGTTACCTGAAGAACTGAATTTTAACTTTAATTTAAAAATTTTAATTTTGAAATTATTTTAGAATAAAAAAGTTACAAAAATAGTATAGAAAGAGTTCCTGTGTACCCTTAGCCATTTCCCCTACATTAATTACCATAGTACAATGATCAAAACCAGGAAATTGACATTAGTACTATAAACTGAGCTGCAAGTCTTATTTGGATTGCACCAGCTTTGTATGCACTCAATGTTTCCTTTCCCATCCTTCCTCCCTTCCTTTTATAGTAACTACTGACATAATCAGGATACAAACTGTCCCACTGCCTCCCAAAAAACCCCTCACGCTACCCTTTTGGAGTTCCACAGTCACCTCAATCTTAATTCTTGGTGACTACTGATTTGTTCTCCATCATTGTAATCTTGTCATTTCAAGAATGTTTTATGTGTAAAATTACAGATATAAGCTTTTGAGACTGGTTCTCTCACTTAACACAATGATTTTGAGAGTCATTCACTTTACTGCATGTATCAACAGTTCATTCCTTTGTTGCTGAGTAGTATTCCATTGTATGGATATATCACAGTTTGTTTACCCATTCACTTATTAAAGGATATTTATGTTGTTTCCAACTTTTGAATATTAGTGCACAGATTTTTGTGTGAATATGATGGGTTGTAGGTTAAACATATCTTTATAGAAACTGCCAAACTGTTTACTAGAGTGGCTATACCATTTCATATTCCACCAGCAATGTATGAGAGACACAGTTGATTCCACATCCTCTTCAGCATTTGGGGTTTTCAGCATTTTCTATTTTAGCCATTCTAATAAGTGTGTAGTGTTAGCACATTGTGGTTTTAACTTACATTTCCCCAATGGCTAATGATGTTGAACATCTTTTCCTGTGCTTATCAACCAGCCCCATAACTTATTTGGAGAAGCACTGTTTAAATCTTTTGCCCATTCTAATTATTTTTAACTTAAAAAGCTACATGGGGCTATTGGCCATCATACTGAACAGTATAGTTGCAGATAACAGAAATGAAGCTTTCAGAAATTCTGATTTAAAAAAAAAACCCATGAAGGAAAAAGAAGATAAGGCAAAATCAAGACTGGTAGGTTTTAAAAATGAAATTTGATTAACTTGTCAGAAGAAAAGTGGTGGGGAGAAGAGTTAGAGAACTGGTAACAAATTTAAGTCTTTGAGTTTATGTTTTGAACAGACATGAATAGTAGAGTGAGGGAGCACATAATAAAGCCAAACCCTAAGGGGTGGCACCAATTTCAATAAGTTTACAGTCTAAAATGATTTGATTTTTTTTTTTTTTAATGGCAAAGAAACAAAGATTACTTTCCTGGTATTTGGTTTAGATCTGTGGGTGGCAAATTCTGCCTTTTTATTCAGACCATGGTTCAACTGATGCCTAATTGTCCAGCTAGAATCCCAGACATGCAATTTAATCCAACTATTCTCAATCAGAGATACAACCTAACTCAGAACCACGATGCTACCTTATGTCTCTAAGTGAAAGCCAGGCTGCATGAGTCTGAATCCCCATACTGCTGCTTACAGCTGTGTGGCTTTACACGAAAGGGTTAACTGTCAAAGACTGTTTCACCTGCAAAATGGAGATAATACCCACTTCCCGAGGATTAGGTTAACATGTCAAATGCTTAGAACAATACCCAAGACACAGGAAATGCTCAATAATTATTGGTATAATGTACCAATCAAATATTTTCTACTTTGAACCAGGTCCTGGGAGAATGATGCTGAATAATTCA